TCTATTGCAGAAAATTTACGTTTGCTCTAAAGTTTTGTGATACTCGAAATCTAGGTTTAGAACTACCTCGACTCAACACCCCAGGCGTAAATCCTTTGTTACTACCTTGAAACTGTCTCTCACCTGAAGTACTGGTAGAACCAGAAAAAGTGCCACGTACATTCTTTGACATCTCCCTCCGATTTTTCCTATCTAACAAGCTCTTCTCAACCCTTGCAACAACTTCCACCAAGGGCCCAAATTCTTGCCACCTAGATGTAGTAATACAACTTCGAATCTCTTCACGTAACCCATCTTCAAATCGTCGACATCGATCAATGTCATCCTCAATTATAGTTGTGGCATATTTTGAGAGTTCTATATATTTTTTCTGATACTCTGCATAGTCATCGACCCCTGTACTAACTTTAAGAACTCACTTCTTTTCGCATCTCTGTCGGATCGTGGATAGTATTCTTCATTAAACAATTTCTTGAATTCTCCCCAGTTTAATTCTTCCGATTTCCGTTTTCTCCCTTTAACTGACTCCCACCAATTACCAACTCCTCCTTCTAGTAGAAATGTACCCAGCCTAACTTTCCTGTCATCCGGGCACCCAATCACATTAAAACATTTTTCTAGCGTTTTCATCCACAACTCTACATAAGCTGGATCTGCCATCCCAGAAAATGTACTTGCCCCTAAAGCTTTGAGTCACTCAATTCTGAAGTTTTTCTTGGATCACTTCTCAACATTCTTATTCCTAGTGCTACAATTTTTGTCATTGCACGCTCATCTTGATCACTCATATTCTCATGTGAATCTACTGACTGGTGGCTAGACTCACCAACTACGTCTTCCTCCATTGTATTCTTCCTACCAAGGACCTATTGAGCTTCAAATTCTTTAARCCTACACGTTTTGCCCTCACACAATAAGATTTACATAATGATATACATATCAGACAATTATTACATAAACCATAATGCATCTTTTATTCATGTTATGCAGGATCTTTATGCTCTGATACCGACCTGACACGACTCGCCCCAAAACATCTACAAGTTCTATAACAAGCCGTGTCTACCACAGACCCCAACCAACTACTGAATCTATAGTCAAAGTTCTTTCTAAATCTTTCTAAAACTAAATTAAGTTATTTCCTAACATATATACCACACAAAGTGTGACATAATTTAATATAGAAATAACTATTCTTCCATAACTTTTAACACATGCATAACAACTACAAAAGATGCAATTAATTTATTCTAGTTCATTCTAAATGTACATACAAAATGATATGTAAGTTGTGAATGATGCTAAGTGGCAGAAACTGGTCGGCTATGTCTTTGAAACTCAGGTGTAGCCTGGTAGAGAAAATAAAGGATAAACAGTGAGATCAGAAGCTCAGTGAGTGACAATTTTATAAGAAAATAATCTCGTATAACTTCTTTCAAAAACAACTGGAATTTCCAATGTTTTTTAACATTATGAAACAAAATTAAAAAACTTTCTCATAAAAAAACTTCATAAAGCTTGAGCAACTAAAACTTAGTAAGGTTTATAATAAGAACTGGTAATAACACACAGTTTCTAAAATCAATTTCTAAATACATATAAAATATATTTTTTCAAACATAAAACAGGTTAAGATAACTCAACACTACATGTGTACCCATATTCTGTTCTGGTCTACTGGTGCTGGTGCGGAGTAATCTCAATACGCACAGTAAAATAATTCTAATTTTAGTCTACTGTCATAGAGCAATCTCAATATACGCAGCAGAATAATTCTCTCAACGTTAGGAGTAAAATGATCTCAAATACCTTATACTTCTGGTTATATTATAGAAACACACTCATATATGCTATATGAGTAATCTCCTAGGTCAATAACATGGTGGTTTGAGAACTACTCCCCACATGAAATTCTAAATCTCACAAAAAGTTCTAAAATTCTTCTTTTTTTATTTGTCAAATCACTTCTAAAAATATTTCTTTCTAACCATATTCATTAAATACCGCAATTTCTTTGAAATCATAAAACGTTTCTAAATTTTCAAAATTCATAAAGCATTTCTAAATTCTTAGAAACATTCATAAATTCTCAAAAACATTTCTAAATTCTCAACAAAAATGATAAAACATACATAATATATATTTTCTAAAAATTTTATAATAAATATCTAAAAACATTTAGTAAAATAACATTCACAAATCTTATGAATAAGGTAAATTTGGATTGTAGGTTGCTTCGATTTCTATTTATCTTGGAGTAATAATCAGCCAAGTTTCAATACACATTTAATTCCAATTTAAAACTACGATGCTTTAAATTAAACCATAATTTTCAGTCAACTGCATTCTCTCTCCATAACCAACCATCTTTCTCTCTCATCTTTTCTTAGCGGTGGGACCCACAACCCACTTTCTTTACCATTCAAATCCCAATCTCCCAAAATTGCCCCCAATTTTCCCACAATTCTTTTTCTTTCTTGTTTAATTTAGCACATTCATTTCTCTCTGTTCTTCCTCAACCGATTCATCTTCTTCTTTCTCAACCCACGAAAATCTTCTCTGTGCTATCAAAAATAAACCCATTTTTTAGCCATCACAGCAAGAAATTTACACAATCTCTAACCTTTCTTTCTACAGCAATCCATACCCCTTTATTTGCTAACGTTACACTCCTCTTCTTTTCAAGAACTCAAGGTTTGAATTCACAAATCTTCCATTAACACAAGTCATCCCCCGTCACAGACAAGGGTCAGGATTATTCTAAGTTCTTAAAACCTTAGAATACTCACAACCTCAAATAAATTGGTGATTAACAAAACCCACAAATTAAACTTATTAAGGATTCTATATTCTAAGGATTCTTGGCTTAAATCTGAAAAACTTACCAGAATCTAGGTCTCAAATCTCAAATCAGTTTCAAAATTCTCCCGTTCCTTGTTTGCTCATCACCATCGGCTTCTTCCACTTTCCGTCTGTTTCTATTTCACTATGCCAAGGATTCCCTTTTTTTTGTTTCCTTTATATTCCTTTTCTTTCTCCTTTTTTTTTATACCACGTGTCTACTCATAAATCACACACATGCACCTCATTTTCCACTTTCTCACATTTTTAAATAAAAATTTTGACATTTTCTTTTACCCAAAATGACGAAAATGTCCTTACTCCATGGTAAGTTTTAAATCCCCTAATTTAATGACTAAGTCAAAACCAATTAATTTGAGATTGCTGCAAATTAATTAAATTGTTCCGTTGTTTCTATATAGTCTCTATTATGCAAGTTATGTAACATGGAAATGCTATAAATACGCACACATAAAGCAACTCTTTGCTACTTAATTCAATAATTCATGACATTTACGGATCACAAACTCATGGATAGCAGTAGAACAATCAATATGAATTAATTCGTCAATTTAATTATTATCAATATTTCATAAACAACAAAACAGTAAATATAGATTTTTTAAAAGAATAAATCCCTATCTTAATCTGACCTCCCAAACTTATAATCGAACTTGCATCATCCTTGAATGTGAATAATTAAAGCTTAACATAATAGATGAAGAAGATTTGAATTTAGGAGGACAGAGATGGATGATGGATGTTTTAGGAGGGCTCATCTATTTATATAGTATTTTATACTCTTTTAACGAAGAATTATCGCTAATAAAAAATCTCTAACTAATTGGAAAATTCTACTTGAAAGAGAATTAATTGAAAAAAAAAATGGTTCTAATCAAGTTAGGAAATTTATGCCATATTTTAAATTCCATTACATTTATCTATTTACAAAATATCTTTAAAATTCATAATTCTCAATCTAGAGCTAAGTATGTCTACCTGCACTTTATTCATTAAGTTCTCTCCAATTTGTGAAGTCTTCGTTATTCTCTAAAATTGTACGTCTCAATTATTATTTTTTAATATCTTCAATCTGTCACAAAATATTAAATTATAGTTAAATTTAAATATTCAATCATAATAAACTAATAAATGTAAAATAAATTTATGAAATATAAGTGTATTTTGAATCTTACTAGGAACCATCGTACTTGAAGGGCATCCTTGTGCCGTCTAGTGGATAATAGCCACGAGTTTTATTGGAATATGCCGACCTATGGGTTGGTTGACCATGGACTGAATCAACTCATGGTGCTGGTTGGCTCAACCTTTGGAGATTGTCAACTCGACTGAGAGTTGGCTTGGCTAGTTGACTCGGTCACAGGCCAGACCTTAAACCCGATCAGCTTTTGGGTTATATAGTTCTTGAGCTAGATCTTCCTTCAAACTTTAGCCCTTCTTGCACGATTCATTGATTTGCAATTTTGGACTAGATTTGTGCGATATATTTAGGCTTTGATGTCACCACTAACTGTAAATAATTAAAATTGTTTTAAAATGAGATTGAAAGAATAAAAAGTTAAATACACCCATAATCCTTAATAAATGAAGGAAATGTAAAATGGTTAAATGCAAAAAGTTTTATTTTCATGCATAAAAATTTTAATAAATTCTATGGAATTTCAATAAAAAAAGTGTGTGACGGGGTGGGATTCTACTTATAAAATTGTGTGATGCAAAAGTCTCACCATCTTCCTTTGCTACCCCTTTTCATAGTTAATGTCATTTTTAATTTTAAATGTTTATTTATGATCAAAATGTGTTAATTTAATATTTCACTAATTAATTTTATACAAATCTAACATGATTTTTTGTTGTACTTCTACTATTTTTAAAATAATGACAACAAAGTCAAAACATTATTACTTTATCAATTTTATTTTCTAAACTATATTAGTTTTAACAAAAATAAATATGTTTTATTAAAAATATAATTAAATATACTAGGTACTATTGCATGCACATGGTAATAAACTAGTATATAAAAATTATTTACTAATCGAGCACACCCATTTAAATTTTCCAAAATTTTTTATAACATTCATTGTCTCGAGCTTTACCTTAATATAGCTTTGGTCTCAATGAAGAAACATCAAGTATTAAACATTATGATTATCAAATATGCGTTCAATCACAAAGGTCAAATCTAACAAATAAAAGGTTTGGAGTACTTTAAAGCTGAACAATTTACATAAAATCATAACATACGATGAAATAACTAACAATTTTATTTTTTCGAAATATTTTTCCTACAATTTTCTTCTTTGGCCCTTTCATGTTCAACGGCCTTCATGAGGAGGCCATCTTGTTGAAGTGCAACTTGGAGAGGTAAGTTTCCAATCCCATAAGCAATGGCGAGAAGAATCTCCGTTACGACCGACTTAAACTCATTTTCATTGATACCACCACTTTTTTCCACATTAAACTTGCGACAAACCGTCTGAGAAAGATCATCTACTGGATCCGTTGAACTACGAAACCCGGCCAGAAGTTCATTTGCATTGAGGATGCCATCTTTGTCAATGTCGAGTTTCTGGAAACTTTCCTTCACGCAGTTGTCAAATATCTTTGTATCATTGATAAAATCTATCACTGTTGTGTCGTTGAGAAAAGCCACACTCATCTTCAAAGATAAGAATGAGAGAATGAGAAAATTTTGAGTTGGTTGTGCTTTTGGTTTGATTCAGCATATTTAAAGAGAAATTTTTGGAACTATATTTAGAGGATTTTGCAACCATTGATAAGCCGTTCTAATAGAGAGTTTATATGATTGTTGTTGCCTAATTATTTTCTACCTATGATTTGGCATTTTTTTCTCTCTATAATTGAACCTACGATCATGGGACGACTTTCCTACATCCACGGTGCACGCTCAAGGATTTGGCATCTTTTCTTCTTGGTGTATTAGTGTTAGCTTAGTCAACTTATTAGGAAAGAATATTGCTCTTGAATGATAAAATTTAGTTAATTATTAAGGCCACTGTTGGGATTGGTGGAGCCAAATTGACGTCAAAACAGGTTAGGAATGAGTCGGAATCTAGTCAAGACGCGTCGGGACGAAGAGGAATGAAAACGAGTGAAAATCGACGATGTAAATTTTGGTCATGTGCACGATGCTAGCATCGCGGCATTGCAACAAAAATTTAGAAGAAAAAAATGGCCTGCACGGTTAATTGATGCTGCCAAGTTCGCAGCATTGAGATGCTATGGGCCGCGTGTCAACGTTGCAGTGTTTTCTTATAAAAGAAAAAATTTTGCTTCGGTTTTCTTTTAGCCGAATTAAGGGGTGCAGCCATGAGTCGTAAAACAAAAGGGACAGCAATGGGTCTGCTATCAGCAGCCTTTTGAGGGAATTTTGTGTGGCTTATCAGAGGCGTCGACTCGGGTATTGGCAGTAATTACAGAGAGGGTATCGAGATCGATATTTTGGGGTAATTAGTCCTCAATTATTATGAACCTAAGTATCTGTAACGCCCCGCGTTTTCTGACTCGTTTATTTTAAGAGATAAATAGTGTCTTTGGATTTTTCCCTAAGTTGATAACTTTAATTCTTGGATTTTCTAACTTTGAAATTCTAATTTTTGGCTAAATTAGAATTAAGTTTAATCTCTTTCGATTATGATAATTTAAGTTCTCGACCTGTGTAGGAGATTTTTAGTTAAATTCTAAATTCACGAGTTTTAGGATTTTCCTTCCTAAATTCTACTTTTCTTTGAATTATTATTCTTGGGTTTTAGAGTTTAAGTTAACTATTTTATTTCGGGTTGTTGGGGGGTTTATTTTATTTCTAAAGCATAATTAGTGGGCTTTTGTTCTGGACCATTGTAGTTTTAGTTGGACCTCATTTAAGATTTGGGAATTGGGCTATTGGTTTTAAAACAAAATAAAGAAAAAAAACCCTAAATCTATTTTGTTTTTTTTTTCTTCT